TAAGGTTGGACACCATCACCTTCAGAATGTCCTGAATCTATAGGAGGGGACAAGGGAAAAACAAGGGCAGGGGGAGAAAGACAGAAGTGGCTTAGAGAGAAACAAAAAGTCAGGGTAGGAGAAAGATGTGGTTTCAGGAAAATAAAACGCTGAGGGAGCAGAGGAGATTGAAACCATGGCCTGTGCCATTCTTCCAAATGGCCACCTGCTGCCTTGCCAGGGGCAGGAACAAATAGATGGAAAAGTTCCCTGAGCGATGCAGTCACAGGGTGGAGTCACCTGACCAACGCAGCTCTTAATATGCTCACTGGACCCCTCTCCTCAGGCCCAGGACGTGGACGATGAATCTGGTAGAGCTCCAGACCTCCACCTCTATTAAAAAACCAGACTCCTGATTAAAGGTTCACTTGAACTAAGGGGGCTCCAGCTAAAAAACAAGTTTGAAAGACACTGATCTTATCCAGTGTCATCTTACAATGGAGAAAACTGAGGCCCAGGGTAAAAAGTGATTTTTCTGTGGTCACCCAGCAAGCTGGTGGCAAGTTAGATCTTCTCTTACTCCTAGTGCCTGGGGCTCTCCTCACCACACCCTGAGCCCCCTTCTGTGACTCCTAAAGGGACAGCTTGATAGCAAGTGGCTGTACTCATTGGCCCAGCTCCGCCTTGAGACTAGGGATCAGGAAAATCAAAGAGCAGGAAAATCAAAGAGCAATGGCCATTTCCTGGGTATCCTAGGTGTTCACAGCAGGACATGTACTAGGGATTAACATAAAAACAACAACAATATGGAATATCATTTAAACTTCAGAAATTAAAATCAAACAACACTATCCCTATTTTACAGATGTGAAAAGAGAGGCCCAAAGAACTCTAGCAATTTGCCATAAATCAGATCCCTAGCCAACGGAGAGGCAGGATTCAAACCCAGAATTCTTAAGCAGTACCCAGCAATCTTAACAATTACCCTCTACTGCCCCCTTGGGCTCCCTGTCCCCAGGAGCCTGGCCAGCCAAGACTCACATCCCCAGGTGAGTGGCAACCACCAGAAGTGGTTGTCTCAGGGTTACTGCCAGTTTTCTTCTTTTTTGTCTTCGCTCCTGCTGGAACACCACGGCTGTTCCTCTGCTGATATTCTTTTAGCTGTGGGAAAGAAGAGCAGTAATACTCATGAGAACTACCAGCCCCTACGGCCACATCCCCCTTTACAGTTTTTCAAAATACTCTTATACACCATCTGACTTCATGCCACCAACAACTGTACAAGGTGTTTTCACAATCACTTACTGATTGAGAGGGATGGATATTATGGCTAAAAAAAAGGGAGGGTGGGCAATAATGGGACTTAAATTCAGTCTTCTGAGTCCAAGCTCTGGGGTTTTGCCATGAATCAGCAGCTGCCAGAGACCAAAATCAGAGCCAGAGGTAGAAAACTAAACATTAAGTAGGCAGGAACTGCACACTGTGTGGTTTGGAGTCACACATCCTCACACGTCTGTAAGTGTGAAGAAGTGCACCAGGACCTCTCAAACTTTTATATCCATGTGTCCTCATGGCAGAAGGCAGCTTTTTTGTTAAATCTGGGAATTTATCAGAAAGAGGACAACCAAGTCTCATTTCAGAGAGAAGTCTGGTATACTCTTAGAAACGTATGTGACTGTCATCCCTAAGTACATTAACGTTTTTTCTCTCTCAAGAGAATCAAGGGAAACTGATGCTTCAGAAAGATCTCCCACATTTATCCTGTGGCACTCAAAGTACCCCAAGTTGAGATGATATGAGGAAGATTCAAGCTGTCAAGTTCAGTTTCCCAAGATCTATTCCACAGAAGATAAGCAAATCTCACTTCAGAGACCACTGACTGAAGGGCAGTCTGGTCCCAGAGCTGTGGAGAATTAGAATATGAGGTGGAGAACTCAGAAAAATATGTTAAAGTCTCTTTGGAGAGTAGAAAGCTGGGAGAAAACCAAACCAAACCCATTCTCCCATTGCCACCCAGAGATGCTGTCAACGTTTAATCTCACAGGGGAAGTGTAGGCTTTTCACAAAGTCAATGTCTATGCGAAGGGAGTAAGGCGACCTGAAACCTGTTGCTCCTAAGTCCCATAGTCCCCATTCCCCTTCCAGGTGGAAATGTGTGCTGTGGCCAGAGGAACCAGAAATGGGGTGAGAGTGCTTAGGGGACTGGGTTGTAAGATGAAAGTCCAGTCTTGCAGCAGTAATGACAGTCCCTAGGGAGACTGTGACATCACTACATTCCACTCCTCCTGGGGGTGGGGGGAACCACATCAGTGCAATGGCTGAGTTGCTGATCCATAATGGGGGAATGGGACGTAGGGCTGGTGCCTAGGTCCTTGGAGATGCCAGTCCAAAGAGCCCAGGGAGGTCAGGCTTGGATCAGCAGGAGGGGAGAGTAGTCTGCAGCAGGAAACCCCAGGAGTCACCAGCCCAAAGTCACCCGGGGATGACGCGATAGTGGGGGGCTGGGGCTGGGGGACCCAGGTCCTCCGACAGCTGAGCCCAAAGAACCCAGGGAGGTTGGGTTTGGGGCAGCAGGACGTGAGGGGTGAGTATAGAGCAGGGAGCCCCAGGAGTCACTTCCCAAAAGTCACCATGGAGTGACTGGCGAGGGCAGAGGCTGAGCTGCTTGCTGAGGGGGCAGGGCTGACCGATGAGACTTTGGTGGGGAGAGCCCAGAGGTGCCAGAGTTAGGGGGCCCAGCCCAGTGTGCCTCAGGAGTGGTGTGTACTCTGGCAGTGGTCTTGTCATTGGAGGGTATCTCTGGCTAGGTTGGGGGGCCATGACCTGTTGTGTCTTACCTTTTTCTTGGCTGCTGCCAATTGACTCTGTCGAGTCTCTTCTAACATCATGGGGTGGGGAGGGAGGCAGGGTTGGGGCCACATCAGCGAACACCTCCAGTCACCTACCAGGCGGCTGTGTGACTGAGCCAGAGGAGGCGTAACCAGGGCCCCACTAGAATGCAGAATGGGGGCGTGGCCTTAATTCTTCAAGCCCATTGGTCAATGAGAAAGATGAAAGGGAAAGGAGGCGTGGCCAGGGAGCAGTGTGTCCAGAGGAACCTGTGGCATCACAAGGAAAGCTGCCCACACAACTGCTGTCCCTGCCCACTTGGGGAGAGGGGCGGGGCCTGCCTACTCCTGGAGGAGGGGGGGGTGCTGGCTTTTTGCTTTAAAACGTTAAAAATAAATTTTAAAAAATATATGTGTTTATACTCTAAATATATGTGTGTCAGTGTGTGTGTGTCTACATGTTCCTCCAGAGCTCTCTTCATTATCCAGCTTCTATGCATGGTCTATGATTTTAGCCTACATTTTTCATCTTCAGATGGAGTACAAGAATTATCAGTATTACCTCAACTGAGACAAATCCTATAAAAATGGAAAATCCAGAGCATGTTTGATGATTAATGAAGTGGACTATATTATCCAACATTCCAATAAGGTAAAATAATCACAATGATTTCTCTTTTTTGGAAAAACATTTCTTTTATTCTCCTACATAATTAAGATTTTTTTAAAAAACAAGAAACATGTCTAATATGTTAAAAACACAAAGCTTTTGGGCTGGGTGTGGTGGCCCACACTTGTAATCCCAACATTTTGGGAGGCCTAGGCGGGTGGATCACCTTAGGTCAGGAGTTCAAGACCAGCCTGGCCAACACGGTGAAACCCCATCTCTACTAAAAATACAAAAGCTAGCCAGGTGTGGTGGTGGGTACCTGTAATCCCAGCTATTCAGGAGGCTGAGGCAGGAGAATAACTTGAACCTGTGAGGTGGAAGTTGCTGTGAGCCAAGCTCACACCACTGCACTCCAGCCTGGGCGACACAGTGAGACTCCATCTCAAAAAAATAAAACAAAATAGTCAAAAGTAAATAAAAACACAAAGCTTTCAACTTAATCAGCACTCAAAGCTCTTTCTGGTTTAAAGTATACACAAGGTCTATTTTTCTAGAATCACCTGACCTCTCTAAACCTTGCAAATGAAACTGAATTTCTCACTTGATACTTGCCTGTGACTTGCAACCATGAAAACCAAGAACTGTGTTATGTCACTGTGTATTGCTTGTTACAATACACAGTGAGTTCCACACTAGGCTGAGATCAAGGGTTGAATCTTTCACGATTTGCCCCACAACCTGTGAGCTTCTTTTCCCACACTAAACTAAGCTTTTTTCTAGAGTTCTACAATTTACAGTTAGTAGACAAGAGTGGTTCTCAAAAATGTAGTCTCTGGACTAGCAGCACCAGCAGAACCTGAGAACTTTTTATAAGTGCAAATTCTCAGGCTTCACCCTGGACCTTGTGAAAGAGAAACTCTGGAGTAGGGCTCAGCAATCTGTGCTGCAGTAATCCCTCCAGGTGTTTAAAAACTTCTGGCATACAGCAGGTAGAAAAATGTGTTTCCTTCTGTAGGTCCAAAGCCAGGGATACCATGTGTTCTGTCTTGATATGAAACCATTATATGCAATTAAAACACATAAATCTCCTTCCTACTCCCACCCTCCAACCAATGTGTTTTATTTTTATGAGTTAAATAAGAAAACAAGTGGCAATCAGAGATTCAGTCTGAAAAGTATATTTACAAGTGTTAGTTCTCATCCAGCCTGATCTCATACAACACCATTTACACCCTTTTACCTCTCAAGTTTTAAAAAAGTATCTTCACAATGTAAGTCTCAGGCAAACTAGCAGTTCTATAATAAAACGCCAAGTAGATGGGAATGTCTAAACTTACTAGAGAAGAAAAGTGGAATGATTGGTTGTATTTTCAAATTGCATTCAACAGGAAATGTAAGTTTTGAATTCTTTTCACCTTCATAATTCCAAGTTAATAGAATTAAATCAGTATACTCCATTCTTTCACAGCCTCTAGCCAGGCAAAGTTTTACTGTACTACTTCTTGCTTCCCATAGATATAAAGCAGAGTCCTGGTAGGCACATTTTGTATGCCTGCAAAGATGCAGAACTAGAGTTCCATCTGTTCAATATTAAAACAAAAGTCCTGTAAACCTTGGATGGTGAGTGTAATACTTCAGCACTAGCACCAAAGCCTCAAATATGAAAAGATACCAAGAACATCACTAGCAAACAAAACTAAACTCTCAGCCAGGAGCAGTAGTTCACACCTGTAATCCCAGCACTTTGGCAAGCCAAGGTGGGAGGATTATTTGAAGTCAGGAGTTCAAGACTAGCCTGGGCAGCACAGCAAATTCACATCTCCACAAAAAAATTTTAAAAATTAGCTGGGCATGGTGGCACACACCTGTAGTCCTAGCTATTTGGCAGGCTGAGGTGGGAAAATTGCTTGAGACCAGCTGTTTGAGGCTGTAGTAGCTATGATTATGGCACTGCACCCAAGCCTGGGTGACAGAATGAGACTTAAATACATTCTCTCCTGCTCCTGTTTACACTAAAATCACTAAGTTGAAATATTTTCAAATTTGGCAGGATGAAAATTAAGTGAAACGTGACTTTGGAGTTTGGTTAGCAAAAGCAAAGGAAAGGAAAAAAGAAAAGAAGGAAAAGAAAAGAAAGAAAAAAGAAAAGAAGAAAGGAAATCAAGTAAAATGACAAACTACTTACTGGGAGAAAGTTTTTGTAACCTCAATGACAGATAAAAGGTTTGTATCCTTAGTCTGTAAAGAAATCTTTAAAATTACTGAGAAAAAACAAATGATTTTCAACAGAAAATGGGCAATGGAGAAACAGGCACTTCTCACAAGAATAAAAATGACCAATAGGCATATGAAAAACAATCAAAAGCACTAGAAATCAAAGAAATGTCATGAAAACAAAGAGATTTGCTGTATAAAGGCAGGAAAGATGACAATGGAAGGGGGAACCCGGAGCTCTGTCCTTGTTGGTGGGAGTACAACCTGAGTCACTTTTTCTGGAGGATAATTTGAAAATTTCTATTAAAAATCCCAAAAATTATTTTCTCCAGAAATTCTACTTCTATGATTTTAGTCCAAAAATACTTGCTCAAGTCCATTAAAATGTATATATAAGAAAATTCACCTCTGGTGTGGCAATGATTATTAACTTAATATACATCCAACTATTAAGAATGATGATGCCAGGATATATTTACTGCCACAGAAATATGCCTAAAATATAGTAAGCGACAAAAGACTATATACTACCATTCTAGTTTTTAAAAGGTTTATATGCATAAAAAAGTATAAAAAGTAACAAACCAGAATGTTTTGAATGGCAAATTAAAGATTTTTCTTAATATTTGTCATCCAAATTATTACAAAAATAATGTGATTTCCTTTATAATCAGGGAGAAGTGTTATTTTCATTTATTTATATTTAACTCTCTCTTCTTTTTCTTATTTTTTTTCCTGTATGTATCCCATGTAGCCTGGAATCCCTGCCTCTTGAGGTAAATCAGCCCATTTTTGGGAAGTGCACTACATAAAGCTGCCCTATCTTCCTTTTATTTTAAGAGATCTGGAGGCATTTTTGTTTCAAATTGCTTTATTTTTCTCAGAGTACTTTTTTTAAAACATATGAAATTGAGGAAAAGACAAAGGAAAGGCTGACTCCCTACCCTCCTGGGGCTACTCTTCCAATTTTTGCTGCTATTGTTATGTATTAATATTCACTGGGTACTAAAAACATGGGTAGCCCCTTAGATACTTTTTTCTTATTTCTTTCTCATAATCCTACTTCATTCCTTCATTCACTTATTTTTAAAAGTGTCATGTGTACAAATACATTGTTCAGAAAATGTTTAAATATAACTATCTATAAAAGTATGTGGCAAAATCCCATTCACTGTCTTATTCTCCTTCCACAGCCAACAATTTTCATTGGTTTCCTATATATCATTTCAGAATTTATCTTTGCAAATACAAATATATGTTCTTATTCTACTCTTCTCTCTCAACACAAAAAGTAGCATACCATACATACTATACCATTCCTTGTTCCTTTTTAAAAACACACACAATGTATCTGAGTTCTTCTACATGAGCACAGAGGTCTTTCTCATTCTTCTTTACAACTGCACAGCATTCATCATTTGGAGGTAGCACAGTTGGTGGACACTGAAGTCATCCCTATCATATTATTACAAACAACAATGCCAAGCATAACCACCCACACACACCAAGTTCATTTCTGAATCTGCCTTTGATGAAGCCTCTATTTGAATCACCACAAGGTCACAAGGCTGAAAAGTTAGCCCCTTTTTTAGTTTTCATTATGTACAGCAGTATATAGCAAAAGACTCCCTTGGGCAAAGCAAATGTACTCTTTGGGGATTTACTTCATAACAATACATGAATAAACAGAACATCAAGGAGAACCATTTCTATTTAACCATGCACATGTATGTATACATTACATGCATATGCATAGAAAGTATACAATAAATCCATCAAAGCACTAAGCATTGTCTCAGTATGGTGGATCTATGGAGTGCTTTGTAGACCACCCTCCTTGCCTATCAGTTCTTTCTAATTTCACAACAGTGAATATGTACTATTTTTGTGATATAAAACTTCAAAAAAATGTTAACTCAAATTAAGCTGTATACATTCCTTCAGTCTGTCCTATATTTGTATGGTACTCCAGAGTGCTCAAATATCACTTCACTAAAAAAAATTATTTATTTTTTTCAAATATAGAGACAGGCAGGGCCTTGCTCTGTCAACCAGGCTGGTCTTGAACTCCTAGATCCTCCTGGATCCTCCCACTTCCACCCCACAAAGTGCCGGTATTACAAGTGTGAGCCATCACACCCTGCCAGCTTCATTTGAGAAATCTTTCCCCAGCACTCCATATATTACGGATAACTCCTTTATTTTTGTTTTGATAGCATCTTAGTCATATCTCTGTTACCTCACTTGTCACATGATAATCAGTTGCTCGCCCATCCATCTCCCTTGATTGCTCATGAGCTCCTTGAAAAGGGTCTGATTTTCAGCACTTTGAACAGTGTGCCACACACATATGCTTCATACACAGAGAAGGACATGATTTCACTACAGTGTAATTATTCCCAGAATTCAAT